TAAATAATTGAAAAACAAAACAGTAAGAAAGAAAGAAAGAAAGAAAGAAAGAAAAAGAAAGAAAGAAAAAGCATCATAAGAGCTTTTTAGCTGGGAGTAACTACCAAACTGTAGTAGGATTAAACAGCATATAGTATACCAAAAAAAGAAAAAAAAAATACTAGTCCATCATTTCTCTTAAAGTTTAGGCAAGTTATTTTTTCAAAAGTTGTACATGAGAAAATGCTAGAACATGCTAATTTGCCAGAACATGTAGCCTCATGCAAATCTCTGTGGTCAATTTATTAAATTGGTTGAAACTGGTCTTAAATATCAACAAAAATTATTTAATTTTGATGTTCCATCAGTAGCTCAATACTATAACATGTCTTATGTACTCTAAGATGTGATATTTATGAAAAAATGGATTTCTGATGATTTCTCAGCATAGAAAATGAGGCAAAATTTGATAAACAGCAAATATTTTTTTTTCCTTTGATGACAAGATATTAAAGTTGTACCTGTAGAACTGTGTTGGAGGCTGCATGATCTGTGTATGCTGATGAACACAGGGTTTATCAGCCTCTTGGCTCATTACAGGATTTTTATGCTCTTTGTTGTCTTTGTGGACTTCATCTTCTGTTATTAATTCCGTGGGAGTTTCTTTCTCTTGTATGTCATATTCCATTTTAGCTACTTTGGCTGCTGGGGCTGAAGACATAGTCCTGGCAAATTTCTGAAAAAATACTAAATTTCCAGTTTATTCTGCTCATACTATAAATCTCTTCATGCAGCTAAAGTCGTGGTTAAGAACAATTAAGTTCTGTTCTTTAAAGTTAGGTTTAACTTGAACCAGGCTGATATGGCCAACTTGTTGCTAGCCTTGAATATGCTAGCCATTATATAGCCCATTCCAGTGAGAAAATTAATTGTAATGTAGTTGGCATGAATACACAACCAGTAATCTCTCTCTCTCTCTCTCACACACACACACACATGCAAACAAACTTCTTAAAAATGATCAACATTCTGCAGACAAATCCTACCTTCACAATCTAATATCTGATGAGACCCCACCCAACTTTTATTTTATCTTTGTCCAGAACCACCGACCATGACCTCCACATCCAGGACTAGATTAACAAGTGTGGTGACCCAGCAAGCATGCCATGGTCAGATGAGAAATGTGGCAGAAAAGCTATTATATGGAAGCTACAGGGCTATATTTTTTATGGTTTTTTGAAAAGAGGTTCCTCTCTAAAGAGCACTTTGACATGGAACGGCATGAGGTGAATGTTGTTATCACCAAATTAGACCAAGTAGTACACAAAATATTTGGGGTTTGCATTCTTTTTTAAAAATATATTATTAAAATAAATAAATAAACAAAAAATAACAAAAAACATGTCATAAAATTACTATAATATCACAAATTTGGTGGAATCTATTTAGACTTTTAGATAAAAAGTTGAATTTTGTGGGAATGCCAGTGAGCTGAGAAAGTCCATCTTCCAATTGAAGAAAGCTTTGTTGTAAAAAAGACTTAGTGTAAATGGACCTAAGAATGTCAAGGCTCACAGAATTTGCCTTTATACCTGAAGTCCTGCATAAAATCTGCTGTCGGCGAAATAGTTGGGTTGTGACATCCAAATATATATTTGGTCTTATCTGATAATCAAAACCTGTTTTTATTGAAGTGTCGGCTAAGCTTGTGCCATATGATTGATACAGACCATAGTTACTGTACAGATGCTTTTCACTGATGATTCTTTAGTTGAAATTGATGGACTTCTTTCCAGTAACAGGCCACCAAATACACAGTTCACAACAACCAGTAATTCCCCCACTTACATGTCACTTAGATTTTACGTGAGTATGTTAGGAATTCTATCTAAAGGATAAATTCTGTGTCCTTTTAAGATTTTTGTATTTGAGATATCATTAAAGGCATCTCATCGTTGATTCTCACATCAAACTGAATTTTCCTTGAGAAGAGCTTAACCTGAACCTGCACTTGGTGTTGTGAACCATCCAAAACGACTTTCACTTTAATAAATAATTGTACTGAATTTCAGTGTAACAATTTTCATTAACGAATTAACTAATCTATGGGCTCCGACATGACTCCAGATTCGACTCGGTCTTTCACTTTACGTGCACAGAGAAGCATAACAGAACAACCTCACATCTTCAGATCCAAATCAAATGTGTTTATTCTATACCAGCATTCAAATTTTATACACATTATCTACAAGGAATCTATGTGTACAAGTGGCTGCTACTTATTTACATACTAATTGCTGTGCAATATTAACAGATGATATGCATCTGTCTCGGGCATCTACAGAGAATAATATTTATGTATGCAGGACAGATGTGTATGCAGGCAAATTAGATATTAACATGTTGACTAACTATGATTATACAATGTGGAATTGGTGCAGGATTCCACATTGAGTTAATGTTTTATATCATCTCTAATTAATTTAGTTCTTAAAGGGATAATAACTCTTATTACTAGCCAAAAAATTAATTTTCCTGGAGTAAAAAACCATTTTCCCATACTTACCAATGGTTAATGAATCAATTTTTACATTCAAAGTTAGTCGCTGTTTTTTTTCTAAAAAGTTTGGTTTTTTTGTTAAAATCTCTTAAGAGATTATAACAGAGTATAGCCATCATGGAGGTCAGGTGATCTGAAGACAAGCGCAGATATCAGAATAATAGCTATAACTGCTGTTTTTTGTCGTAAAACAGAATGTATTATATTTCAATGAGTTATTCACAATGTTTTTATTGTGCAATATAGATCTCATACGAAGAGTTATTATCCCTTTAATAGTTACTAGTAGATAAACAAATATAGAAAACATGATTAGGACATTTTCAAAAGGACCATTACCAATTAGGATTGCTCCTTTTTTCTTAACACCTGAAATTTTTGTGCCAATCACATGCAAAGCTTGTTTAGAGATTTTAAGATAGTGGTTTAAAGTATTGGCAGGAAAGGCTTAACTCAAGTTAACTATGATTTTACTTTATAAGTTTTCAGGATTTAATGTAATCCTTGAAAAAGGGAGAATTTTGTAGCACAGAATTTAGAACAACATCTTGGTCTGAAGCCTGATGGAGCTTCAAGTACAGGGGTAGTAAATACATGAACATGTAGTACTATTCTAAAAATACAGGGTGCCCCCCCCACAAAAAAAAAAAAAAAAAAAAATA